GTCTTATTTATTATTTGGTGGTTGTCATAATTTTTGGTATAGTAGTTGTAACTTATTCACACTCTATACATTTGGCTTCCGCAACAATGTTGTCGTCTACTCTTTGCTTTTTAGGAAATCCGCAGCAGCTATTCTGCTAGAAATCTGTCCAAATGGACATGTATAGCTAGGAGATAGTTGTGCATTGGACAAAAGAATCACAATACCAATTAAATTTGAACTTCTTTTCTGTTTTCCTTGGTAATGACTATCCCATGCAGCGGCGAAGCTACATAGCCGAAAAATTACACTGTATATATAGATAAAATATTATATTTTAGAAGTATATAATATATATTGAATACCCTTTATCGAATTTTTTTTAACTTCTTTCAAGTTTGAACCCCCTAGATGAAATTCCTGGCTTCACCACGGATCCCATGAGTAGATAATAGCATCAGTACTCAGTTTATTTTACGATAGTAAAACTTCATAGTGTTCCTAAAAACTATACTAAATACCCATATGGCCGATCTGTTTTACGGTTTTGCCCATGTCATAAGATAATTAAGTTTTAAGTGTCCTTGAACTTACAAAAAACTGCCCATTACGTGACGTGAAAGATTGCAGCTAACATAGATCAACTGACTAGTCTTTGCTCATATTTGCATGCATTGCAGGCAGAGTTGGAGGAGGAAATGAAAAGGCTAAAACTTGAACTGAAGCAAACCCTGGATATGTACAATGAAACTTGCAGAAAACAGGTCAGAATTTGGCAGTCACATATTTTTATCAGCACATGAAGTATTTATCTTCATTATTCATAATAAATACTTTAGACCATATCGATGAAACTTATTTTTCATTTTTAAAGGCAAGAGAGATTGATCATTTGAAGTCAGAAGAGGCATGCAAATTAGAAGAAGCCAAGGAGGCTCAAGTGGCTGCACATGCTATGGTGGAAAAGGAGAAGCAGAAGTGCAAGGCTGCTTTAGAAGTAGCACGGATGGCGCAGCAAATAGCAGAATTGGAATCTCAGAAGCGAAAGCGTGTAGAACAGAAATTTCTGCATGAAGCAGAAGAGATGAAGAAAGCACAAGATGCATTTGCCTGCAGTACAATTCCCTATAGGAGATACTCAATTGACGAAATTGAAGCTGCAACAAATTACTTCTCCAATTCAAAGAAGATTGGTGAAGGTGGATATGGTCCAGTGTACAAAGCCTATCTGGATCACACTGCAGTTGCTATTAAAGTTTTAAGGTCAGACATGTCACAGGGACAAACACAGTTTCAGCAAGAGGTACTTTTCCATGTTTTTCGTTACAGATAAAGCAGACGATTTGGAAATCCATTACGATTAGGTCCCTTTTATTGCAGCTTGATGTTCTAAACCGTTTGAGACATCCAAATGTGGTTCTCCTCTTGGGAGCTTGTCCGGAGTATGGTTGCCTTGTCTATGAATATATGGAAAATGGCAGCTTAGAGGACAGGTTGTTCTGTAAAAACAGAAGTCCTCCTATACCATGGCCTGCTCGTTTCAGGATAGCTGCGGAGATTGCTGCTGCCCTTCACTTCTTTCACCGATCAAGACCAGAACCCATCGTGCATCGAGACCTCAAACCTGCTAATATTCTCTTGGATACTAACTACAAAAGTAAGATTAGCGATGTTGGCTTAGCCAGATTGGTTCCAGCGTCTGTCTCCGATAGTGTCACTCAGTTTATCATGACATCAGCTGCTGGGACATTTTGCTATATTGACCCAGAATACCAACAGACTGGGATGCTGAATCCAAAATCAGATATTTACTCTTTGGGTATCATGTTATTACAAATAATTACAGCAAGGCCTCCAATGGGATTGACACACCACGTCGAGAGGTCAATTGAAAAGGGAAATTTTGATGATATACTAGATCCATCAGTAAATGATTGGCCCTTGGAGGAGGCTCTATCCTTCGCTAAATTGGCTTTGAAATGTTGCGAACTCAGGAGGAAGGACAGGCCAGACCTCGGTTCAGACATATTGCCTGAATTGGAACGACTAAAAGATTTTGCATTAGACTATAGACGCAGAGGTCGGTTTACTTCACGTCCCACAAGTTCACAAGAAAGCTTAGCAGTGACTGAGGTTGGCTATCTACGCTAAGCTTCCTTTTATGTTCAAGGATATTTATGTTTATGCATTCATATAGAAATTACATGTACTTAAGCTGTTCTATGTCCTTTTATCTCTCAGGAAGTAAGACGCGGCATTTCTGACAACCAATCAGATAAAGTACCATAACCGCACGATGGCTGTAAGGGGTAAAACGCCTGAATTACTTTCAACAAGCACTGGTTTACTAGTACCTATTGGCAAGGTAATGATTTCCAGAAGCATTCACTAAGGTTACTTTCAAATAGTTTCTGAAATTTTTATGCCAAGATAAACTCATACTACTATTTTCGGAAACAGATGATGCCATTCAGCTGTGGTTTCCACCTCAATATTCAAGCATATTTTGGCCTCTACTATCCAGCAAGAATGTGAATACTAAATGTACAGAGATACAATCTATAGTCACCACCACAACGCCCGTTGTAATTTTGGAAACAGGAAAGATACAATACTTTTTATTGACATTAATACAATATTTTTGACCAGTGAATGTCAAAGTAAATGGAAATCTTGTACACCAACTGATATTCTAATGAAATCTTGTCATTTTTTGTGAATCCTGTAAATGAGCCTATGCAAAGAGCACAAGAACAGACATACTTTTGGTTTCTCCAGAACATTAATTAAGTTTATGACAAACATGGCAAAAGTAAATCAAGCAGTTGAGGCAATAAGGTAAAGAAACAGCATTGCAGATTTGTATATGTCAGTGCATACATATGAGGACTTGCTTCATGTAACTTGACTTCAGGTGCAAAAACAAAGTATATCCATCTGTTTGACCTAAAATTTAGATCTAGGTTTAAACAATTAGATTTTCTAATAGAATAGGGTTAATTTTAGCTAATATTAATATCCAAAAGGCCGTTTGACTGATTTCGTGGCAAAATGGCTCAAGTGCCGCCGGATAATAATAAATATGCAGCAAAGACAGTATTTAATGACCCAAGAACAAAAAGACAACATTCAATAGTAATAAATGAAATATAATGGTATTTATGTAAATAAATGCGAGTGAGATAACCGAAAAAGGGTTGGATTCGCTGATATCTCTCCTGACAATGATAAGTGATTGATGAACCTTTGAATATTAATATTCTTCTTGGATCGTGGAAGAAAAGTTAGAATCAAATCTGGAAAAATGTATATTGTGTATGTATATCAAATAAGAACCTTCAGAGAATATCAAAGTGTTGTTCTTTTACAACAAGTGTCCCATCCCCTTCTATAACTACTTATAAGGGAACATGAGCCATAAAACCCTAATAGTATAGATTCTAGAATATTCATTGGAATATTCTCTTTAAAGTTTTATCCCTAAAACTAGCTGTTATTGTTCTGTTAAGGACCTCGATATGACTCCTCGATCTAGCATTCGTCCTTTGTCAGGTCACTTCGACCTTATCTTCGTCTTTTGTTGAAATCATATTGATGACGCGTGGCAGCCTTCGAAGGTCTTTTAATGTCGACGTGGCCCAAATATAACTAGGATAATTTTTGGCCCATACACCTTCCTCATTGATGTTTAGATTGCCCTCTCGAATCTGCAAATGGAGAGTAAAAAGGAACCTGAGAACAAGAATTGTCAAAATAGGCATGTATCCAGTACATAACCACATTGAGCTAATCTTTATGGGGTAAGTCCAAGAGAATTGATCTAGTGGATTAGTTAAGTGACTAGGCCCGTGCTCAATATGAGGTGAGCAAAGTGCACAGTGGTTCACCAGGTTCTATCATTCACTTTATCCAATGACTAGATTTTATTAGAAAAAAATTCTATAATTTTAGACTTAAATTTAATACTTCATCTGCTACGGTTTAATAACATGTAGATTAAAAATTTGTAAAAATAGCACGGACTAGCCAGTTTTTGGACTGGTAATTGAAAAATAGCCAGCATTTACAAAGTCATTGAAAAATAGCCAGTATTTTGCTGCAATACAGAAAGTTCCAGCATAATATATTGGAGATTGGTGCACATGTGTATGACCTTTCAGCATATTATGTTGGAACTCCAACACACGAAAAGTTCCAGCATAATATACTGGAGATTGGAGCACTTATGTATGAACTTCCAGCATATTATGCTGAACCGGTATATTTCCAGCATAATATACCATTGGAGTTCCAGTATATTATGCTGGAATATTTTTCAAATCTTGAACGGTGTTTTCATTTAGATTTATCTTTACATAAAAAGTGGCTAAATTTCGATTACTTTTGAAATTGTGCCTATTTTTTTGGTGACCACTTGTAAATCTGACTATTTTTTAATTCTCCCTAAAAAATTAATGCCACATGGTAATTTTTTTTGATAAGGTAAATTGTATTAATCAAAAGGGAGAGAACTCCCGTATACAAGAAGTATACCAAAAAGTAGAGAATTTACATCAGAACATGATTCTCTACAAAAGATGCCCAATCTTCCATACAAATAGGGGCTATATGAGTGCACCAAAAAGCGATCAAAGACAAAAGACTATTCTTAAGATGTGAAAAAGGAGACTCAATCCCCTCAAAAGCTCTCCTATTTCTCTCCCCCCAAACTATCCACATTAGAGTTAACGGGGCGAACTTCCACGCCTTTTTCTTTCTTCTTCTACGAAAACCAGCCCAGCTATATAGCATTTCCTTTACAGTGCTTGGCATCACCCATTGAACACTGAAAAGGTTCATGATCGCCTTCCACAAAGCTGAGGACACATGGCAATGCAACAAAAGATGATCAACTTTTTCCCCTGAGCTTTTATACATATAGTACCAACTAACAAGTGTAATTCCCCTCTTTCACAGATTCTCAGCAGTCAAAATCACTCCTCTCGCCATTAGCCATGCAAAAAACACACCTTCGTAGGCGCCTTAGGAATACAGATCGAGGAGTACGGAAACGAGGCCTCCTCTCTCACTAACATACTCTGGTAAAAGGACTTTATGGTGAATAGACAATCGCCACACAAACCCCATCTCCAAGAATCACATGATGGCTGAGGCCTGTCTTGCCCATATAGTGTCAATAAATCTTGGAGCTCCGCAATCTCCCAATCTTGCATGTTACTTCTAAATGAAAGGTCCTATACTACCCCCCTCCCCCTACATGCTCCTTACGAATCTGTTGGACCATCAATTCCTTCTGGTTTGAAACTCTGAAGACGTGGGGGAAAAAGACCCTCAGAATATCCTCTCCACACCACCTATGATTCCAAAAGCTGATTATCTTCCATCACCCACCCTGTAAGAGATGTTGCCACTGAAGGATTCTCAATTCTTCATGATGCTCCTCCACATG